GTATAGTGTTATCATTCACATTGAACAGTACTATTACTACTATTATTAGCAGTAGTACCAATACCAKTAGCATCAGCAATAGTAGTATTGGTATTACCATTGTTGAAGTCTGCCAGTACTGAAYGTGCAAGAAAGGCTATCTTTTCTTGGTTACAACAAGCAATGATACAGGAAGGTCCTTTGCTTTCCCAAGGTATCAAATCTTCTTGTAAGTGTTGTCTCCTTCAACATCAAGTGAATCCTCCATTGCATACTGTAGTGACAAAAAATACATTGTTTAGAGTCTAATGTTTGGATTCTTCAAATGAAGTAAATACATTGGCAATCAATGTGTCCATATTAGAAGACCACTTTCTGTCCTGAATGCTCTGCTGGATAAAATTAAAAAATCCTAAATCAAGAACATTGAAGTTGGGACTGTTGGGTGGTTGGAGCTTCACAACAATATTCTAGTTRTTCTCCTGAGCTGCAGCTGTTACAGCTGCTGTATTGTTAGTAAGTGTACGAGGATTAGCATTGTCTTCCTGGATGATGCAATTTGGAACACCATTGCCTCTGGGGAACTTCTTGTAAATGGCTKGTAGAACTTTCTTAATCATGAGATTCCTGTACACTTCTTCATTGACATTAATAGTAGGGTGGGCTTCCCAGGGGCAATTTATAGAGGATCTCTGTACTGGTCTATACTCCACAATACTAGGCCAAATACCAGCCAAGCTTACCATCAAACCAAGCATTCCTACTAGTATCAAATCTGGGCCTTGCTGTTGCGCATAGAAACATCACCTTCTTGAGGTGCTGCTTTGAAGGTGTCTTGTCAACTGGTTCAAGCTCTTCATCAAGTAGATACGTGTTGCTTGTTACTTCCTTCATGAAGAACCATTTCTCAYCAACATGTACCTTGCCATACATTGGCTCAAAGACACCATTGTTATCAATATGAGACAGAGCAAATCTGATCAAGGCTGCAGGAGGGGGGGATAGCAACTCGCTTGGTTCAAGGAGATCTATTGCGTCTGTTACTGTAGCCATCTTGGTGTGTGTTTGCTTTAGAAAGGAGCAACATTCAATAGAGTGAGGGAACGAAAGAATGGAAACAACAGAACAAGCAACAAAGAAATAGCAGGTTGATTATCATCACTGTAAGAGTGGAAGCAACAGAGGTGCAAGGCAAGTTGGTGAATTGCTTCCCCCTCTTAGTGGAAGCAACGGATGCAAGTGGACCAGTCAATGGATCCCCTACCAATGGAGGTGCAAGGCGAGTCATTGGAGACAATGGACTATCAGCAAGTGCAAGACAACAGAGGTGCAAGGCAAGATGTTCCTGGTGCTTCCCCCTATTAGTAGTGGAGACAATGGAGACGCAAGGCGAGTCACCAATGGATCCCTTAAGAGTGGTTTCAGCAAGTGCCAGCAAGTTGATGGACCCCCTATCAGTGAGTCACCAGGTGACCTGTCACA